AGCCTCTATGTGTGATGAGAAGGGCCTGTAGAGGCTGAGCCTGGGGCCCTGGGCCCGGATCTCCTGCCAGGCCCGGCCTCTCCTGGACCTGGCCCTGCCTACTCTAAACAGGCCCCTTCCCCCTTCTTCCTGGCCCCTCTACTGGGTCAACCGCCCACACCCATCCATGCCCTCTTAGGGTAAACCTGCAGTGTCACCTGTCTCTGGTTTTTCGATTTGTTTAATTATAGCTGAGTTTTCTGCATAATTTATTCCAAAAGCCTGGATTATACTATACAATTAAATCACATTCTGATCATCAACTTCACATATAAAATTAACAACTGGCAACAGTTTAATCTATACTGCTGCATCTGCACATGGTCGCTTTCTCTTACCCCTCTATTCCTCTCCTTCCCTGTCCCCTCCCTGGGTGAACATTTGCAGCTGGTTGCCCCCATCCAAATGATCTGTTTTACTCGGGGTCTCCTTGACTTGTAGCTGGGGTCTTGCCCTGTAACTGGTGCTGACTTCACTTTTTTTTTTTTTTTTTTTTTTTGGTCTTTTTCATTTTTATTGGTACCAGGGATCGAACTCACTACCGCCTGCTTGCAAGGCAGGTGCTTATGCCACTGAGCTAAATCCCCAGCCCTGACTTCGCTTTCTTGTCTGCAGGTACATCATTCCCCATCCCCACTCCTCTTAGTTTTAGAGACCAAGGCCTAGCATCCCCAGCATACAATTCCATCTTCTTTCCTGCTGGGCTACCTCAACCCGCCAGGCCTTCCCTGAAGCACCTTTCTCCAACCACCCTCTCCCAGTATAGGAATTTATCAATCACTTCCTGAGTACTCAGTGGGCCCTGGATCTTGGAGGAGCAAGGTTGTACTGGATGAGCTTCTAGACCTTAAGGACTGCCCAGTAATAATACTCCCTGTCAATGTGCCTCGATTATCTGCCCAATAAGATCTATTTAGCTGTTCACCATGAAACCTGTTGACCCATGGAAAGGCTGAAGATCCAAGGTTGCACAGCTGGCAGAGGTGGCCTCTCCCCCGAGGTTTCCCCAGGCTACACTGTCCTAGAAGGATGAGCTCATGGGCCTGATGGAGCCAGGGAATAGGTCTGGCTTTCTTCTAAGTATGGGAACCTGCGCTACCCCTGCCAGCTCAGGGTGCTGATCTGTGAGATGGGCTGCAGTGCCTTTCCCCCCTAGGTTTGGGTACATCAGAGGACTTGTCTCAATCTCCAGTGTACACCCACTCAGGAAGTGTAGCCCCTGGGTGCACTGTCTCCTGCCAGACACTCCCCCACTGTCTTGCTAGTTTGGTACTTAAAAGCACTTAGAAGTAAGCAATGTCATCTCAGAAAAAGAGTATGGAAAATCACAAGGCTATGGGGAGCTACTAGGTAGACCTCTCTGTTGCATCTGAGCTGCAGACAGCACTCTCTGGCTGGGAGACATTGCCAAAGCCAGGAACTTGGAACCAACTCAGTGGGAACCTGGGCAGGATTTGGTCAGTCTGACGTTGATTCAGTGGGGCTTCGAATCCTGATGTATATTTATGCCTCATTTTCCAAAGCTCTCATGACTCTCTGTGGGAGTGAACCTAGTTGTGCCTAGCTAGGTTGGACTTAGCTTGCTAGGTGCATTCTCCAGTCCCAAGTCAGGAGCACTATGGAGGCATAGTCACCCCTTGGCTTCCTCAGTGCCCATGTGTCACTCTCTAGAGCCAGCCAAGGATACTGGCCAAACCCTAGAACTCACAAAATCATATTTCTGTGGCAATGAAATCTACTTTCCAGTTCTCTGTCATGTTCTTTTTGACTCTAAGATACATATATTGCCTTCCTAGTTGGGTTTGATTTAGGCAAAGAATCAGAATAACTTGCTTTTCCTGGCACTGTGCTGATGGGCAGTTTGCTAGGGCCGAGGGTCTGCCTATCGGTCCTAGAATGCCAGACACAGGGCTGGAGTCACTTTTAGACTCTGGGATGGTGTATGTGTCACATTGAGCCAGTCAGCACATCCCACCCCACGGCAGAGTCCAAAGTGACTCAGCCTGATAGAAGTGCAGAGCGTGTGTGTGTGTGTGTGTGTGTGTGTGTGTGTGTGTGTGTGTGTGTGTATGAGTATATGACAGAGAAAGACACAGAAGTGTGTCTAGAGAGAGAACTTGACTTTATCCTGAGATTTGGTTTTTCTAAAAATTATTTTAGTGTTGAAACAGACTTTTTACATGAAGTGATGGTGATTATATTAATAATGTGTTGTCTGCACAAAATAAAAATTCGGCATCTATGTCTGTTCTTCCGGTGAATTTCCTTGCACTTATCTGTGAGATCCCAGAAACTGAGACCTATAGGCATATAGAAGAGAGTTCATGACCCCGGGGTGGCACTGTGTTCTGGTAAATGTTCTCAGTCCACTCTCCAGGGAGAAAACCTGTGATTCTTAGCATTTACTGATTTCGAAGGTGTAAATATTCCCACTGTGACTAGCTTTATTCCTCCAAGCTGACGGCACTAAATGCCAAGTTGGTCAGGAGCACATGGATCGGTGCTTATGTATCAGGCTTGTGACTCTAGCACACTTCTGAAACAAGTCTTGGCTATCATTTCCTGGACAGATAATCTTGGGCAGGTCCACTAAACCCTCTGTGCCTCAGTTTCCTCAACTGTAAATTGGGATGGTGATGTTTGCTATCTTTGTGTGAGGTGATATAAAAGGACACATGGCTGGGCTTGGCATGGTGGCTCACACCTGTAATCTCAGCCCTCAGGAGACTGAGGCAGGAGGAGTGCTGCAAGTTGGAGGCCAGCCTAGGCTACAAAGTGAGTTTAAGGCCAACTTGAACTGCATAGTGAAACCCTGTCTCAAAAAGACAAAAAAAAAAAGTGTTATAACTGGCACTACACTTTGTACACAGTGGATACTCTTGCATATTTTAGTCTAGGAAGGATTGTGATTAACATTGTGTCCCCTGGAGTGGTAAGTGGCTGAGGTCAGAGGCAGGGGCAGGGCAGAACTAATGGTTCCTTTTGGAGATCAGATCCTTGACCTTGCTTATTTGTTTGCCACCTGCCAGGCTGGACACAGAGCTATGTGGTAGGCCATCCCAGTATCATCCACCAGGGTTCTGCTTTTCAGGATCACAAAAGACCCACTTGTCACATTGTCCACCCAAGCCAGGGCCAAGACTCTGGCACCTGGTAAACAGTAGCCAACTAAGGCGGCTCTCTATTCTCTGGCTATACCTTACCCTCTCTAAGTGGGCACCTGAAGCCTGATTGCTTTTTTCTACCCCAGTCTGCAGCCTGGCTTCCACCCGGACTCAGGGTTAGTTTCCCCTGCAGTGGGGAGCAGAGGTGGGAATCAGGCTGTGGCTCAAGCAGCAACAAGCCAAACCTAATACCTCTATCTTTTTTTTTTCCTTTGATTTTTGCAGATTTGTTGTTATGGACTATGATTTAGGACATGGGATGGGCAATGTCACCATGGGGCATACCTACTCCTATCATTTGATGTTGATTTTTTTCCCATCATGGTCCTGACATTCAGCTTGGCAAATTGCAATTAGTGATCTGCCTGCCTCCTGCTCCGAGTTCCCATGCCAACCGACCCAGGCACACACAATGGCTTGTACCCAGCCCCCAAGCCAAAGGCAGGAGGAGGGGTGAGGGGCAGGGGCCAGGGTGAATGCTTGTGCACTTCTGACCCAGGGAGCTAGGAGATGGTCCTGGTTCCAAGTGACACTGGGAAGATGGCAGGCCCAGGGAGAGGTGCTGGGACCAGATGCAACCTTCCAAGCATCATTCTGTCCCTGCTGTGCCCTATGCAATGTACTTGACTCTTGGTGTATTTCAGGCTCTATGGTGGTTCTCCTGTGAGCCCTCCCTAGAGAAGCCTTAGCCTGCAGAATGGAAATGTGTCAGAGGAAGAGGAAGCTGAAGTATCTTTTCAGGCACATGAAAGCAGGGAGACTTGTTCACCACAGAGAGCATCTGACACTGTCTGAAGGGGAAGGTCACAGATTTGAACCCAGCTGAGGCCTTCCCCCAGATACCTTCACTCTTCCTGGGTATGGAGTGGAGAGTACAGGGCCACGTGGTCCTGCTTACTCACAAATATCCCTGAACAGTGCCCTTGGGGCACCTATTCTCAGGTGTTCTTTTTTTTTCTCATGTGCTTGTGATACTCTAAGAGGTGGCCCCAAATAAGCTTCTCATTTCAGAAAAGGAAGCTGAGAAACAGATGGGTTAAAATGACCCTAGGGTGGTACAAGGTACACCTTCATCTGTGATTCAGATGAAGCATTTGTGAGGCTTAAGTTCCCAGAAAGGGGTAGGACTGTCCACACTGGGCCAGTGGTTGAGTTCATGCTGAGAATCTAGCAATGGACCTCAGATAAGCATCTGTCTACCAGGATACTGGCAAGCAGAGGGCTTTGTGAGCCAGGAACTCTCCATGTCCACTGCTTAAATGAGGTCCAGAGAGGCAGGGACCTGTCCAGGCTTACACAACACATCATCGGTCTTTCCCCCCATACTTAGTTTCTATGGGTGCCCACAATATGGGGGTGTAGGGGTAATGATGGTGTAGGGGTTACAGCTGTGTTCCCTCCCCTTCCCTAGGCCCCACCTGGCTCTGTCCTGCCTCCTTCTTCCCTAGTATCTAGAAGTCCCCGTGTTCAGAACAGCTACATCAAGGTCTGGCTCTTCACAGGGAAAAGTAGCCCCCCTGCAGGCTTCTTGAAGTTGCTGAACTTCCTCAGCACTTGCACAATACACTCCTCTCTCCTCTCCGGCTGGCCAACAGTACTTGCGGAGAGGCCAGGCCCCCAGGGCTGGACTTTAAAGGCAAACTGCAGGCATACTGTTCCTTGCTTCTCTTTCTCCTTTAATGAAAATTGGGTTGAATGAATGGCTGCCCTGGTCTTCCCCTCCCCACCCCCAGGAGGCAGGGGCTGGATTTTCCCAGCTTCAAGTAAACCTGACATCTCTGTCCTCTCTGTGCACAGGATGCAGCACTGGGCCCGGCGCTTGGAGCAAGAGATTGACGGCGTGATGCGGATCTTTGGAGGCGTTCAGCAGCTCCGTGAGGTAAGCCTAGTGCACCTGTTTCCCTCCAGGGACCCTCCTTCAAGTGGGTTGACAGTGTTGAAGCATTATTGAGGTCTTGATCTGTGCTTTTCAAGGTAGTTTTTGGAGCAATGACCCTCTGGCCTTTGGGAACAGAGACTCTTGCCTTTGGGAGGATACAGAGCTCCCCTGTGGATGGGCTCTGTATTTGAGGTAGTGCTTGAGGTCGGAGCTCAGGCTCTTGAGAGGCCAGTAACTCTAAGATGTGATAAAGCCCAAGGGAGTAATACCAGAATGCTAAGACGGCCAAGCCAAAGAAGCCTGGGAAACAAGCCTGTGAGGAGTGGCAAGCCTGCATTCTGCGTTGGGATGAGGGATCAAGGTACAGGAGGGGTGATTGATTAGACTCTAGCAAGCACATTCATCCTGGAAGATTATGTTAATGTTTGAAATAGTGATGTGAAGAGCAAGCTATCCGTCACCTCCAGAAGGCTGCAAAATGTGTCACTGTCAGGCCACAGGCTCCTGAGCTGTTGCTCTTTATGTGGAAATGTGGAGGCTCAGAGATCTGAGCTCTTGGAGAGCTGGGGGTGGGGCTCCTGGGGATCTCTTAGCTGGGGCCTGGGCTGGAAAGTCTTGGCCAGAACCAAGTAGGGGATTAACTGGGATCTCCTGCTAATAGTTGGCCTGGGAACAACAGAAAAGATGAGTTACTATGGGGCTTCTGTTGAGAGTCCAGACCCAGAGTTCAGTGATTAGATGTTTCTCAGTGTTTCTGTCATCCCTTAAGGTCAGGACTGTGGTCAGCAGATTAACCTCTGGGGGCAGGGGCCATGGGAGTCATCATCGGTCTTTCCCCCCATACTTAGTTTCTATGGGTGCCCACAATATGGGGGTGACACTGAGTTGACATTACTTGTGATGTAGAACCCCTGAACAAATAGGGCTTATCAAAGGTAACTAATGAAGGGGTAACACGGTCCAGGTCTGAAGGTCTCAACAACTAGCCCTGCTCACTGTCCTTCCTGCAATGGTCCAGAGTCTCCAACCTCCCTTTCCTGGTTGCTGGGCTAGAATTACAGTAGTTGCGTCCCACTCCTTCTGTGAACTCTCAGTGACTCAGCTGTGCTTGGAAGCTAGCAGAGCTTCCAGAGAAAGCACTGTAGGAAATTCTGTTCCGGAACAGGAGTCAATTTAGGCTCAGGAATAGCGCTCATCACTAACCAGGCTCTTAAGTGGACACCTCCAAGTACAGCCGTGTAGGTTAAGAAAAGAATGATAGCTCCCTGAAAGGAACATCATCCGCCCTTCCAAAGACAGTGTTTTGTACAGAGAGATCTGATGTAGCAGTTAAGACTCTTCCATGCTTTGAAATCTCAGCTCTGGGATGTTGTTTATTTTATGCTTAGTGGTAACTCAGACGCTGAATGTTTGCCTATGAGAAAATAGTATGCATGCTTTATGCCTGAGACTTGGGTCTGTTAGCTTCCTGGATGGTAAGGACCAAGGTGGAATCCTTGTTCAATGAACCTGTCTTATTCTAGTAGGCAAAACTTTGACCCCTCTGATCCTCCTTTTCAACCCACAGTGTGACTGGCAAGTCTGAAGGTAAAAATGGCATTGGATTTGAATTTCTCCTGTTAATTGTTTTCCCTTCTAGGATGTGTTCCCTTCCTTTCAATGGGACCTGAGTGATTGCAGGTCCTTCATCACTGGGTCTTCCCTACCCCTACAAAGGTGGGGGTGACAAAGCTGGATTGTGGCAGACCTGGGGCTTGGGCCTGGGCCCCTCCTGTGGCTGCATTCCCACTCCTGGGAGTGTGGACAAGATGAACCTGGGGCAGCAGGGAGCTGGGCTGGAGCCGGGCCCTGCCTGGTGTGGCAGGCAGGCAGAGAAGTGCTGATCAGGCATCCACTCCTCCTGGCAGCCCCTCTGCTGCCCAAGGCTGCCAGCTCTCCAGCAGCTCTGTCCTGCTCCAGTTTTTCTCACCTGCTTCCTCAGCCTCTTATTTCCCGCTGACAGCTCTGGGGCTACTTCTTGGCCCAAGGCACTCTAGGGAGGTGCACAGGTGAAATGGCAGTGGGGTTAGGTGTAGAGTTCTAGGGGCAGACCTGGGGGAGCAGAAAGGAGCCATCAGGGGCCCCCCTCCCATGGGCTATGCCTGTGTCTCCAGGTTCACGCCTGGCTCTCCTAGGTCAGGAGGGTCCTTGGAGCAGAGCACTGACCTAGCTGTCAGTGAGGCCATGGACCCAGCACCATCAAAGCTGACAGCCTTGGTTCCCACCAGAGCTACTCCTCGGCCAGCCTCTCTGAGCTGATTCTGAGCTGACCCCAAACACCTGCAGCTGAGGTGATCCTAGTGTCAAAGCCCCCTCTGCAACTGCTCTCCCTGCCTGCCCCAGTCCTAGAAGCTGCCCCACCCCCAGTAGCTTGGAGCCTTGAGGGCTGGCAGCTGCAAGACAGCAGAAACTGCAGACAGTGGCGTTTGGGAACATTTTCCTTGCCTTGGCATTCTCCTTCTCTCGACCTTACCACAACCTATTGGGGTACCACTGGGAGCAGACTGTGGCCCATTTACAGTTAGTAGCGTGGCATGCCTTGGTAGGGCATGGAGTCTGTTTGTGAAGACTCCATCGCATTTCCCCATCCAACCTCCTAGGCCAGTGCCTAGCTTGGATCCTGGTACTTACATGCTGCTGCCCTCAAACATTAGCCAGGCCCTCCCAAGCCACTCCTCCTGTGTACTTCAGCCCTACCCACCCTGGCCCACTCTTACCCTCAGTAGGCCACAGAAATGGCCATCTAGCTCTTTAGCCCCCTTGGGGCTGAGTGAGGTCTCCTGAGCCCCTTCTCTACCCTCCTCTACCAGCACCATATTGTCCCCGTCCTGGGGGGAGAGCAGAGAACATATGCTTAGGCTCTGAGCTCATTTACATAATGAGGCTGATCAGGACGAATAATTCATCAGGCTCCTGGGGGTGCATGGGGATGCTGTGGACATGGGCAGGTCTCTGCTCTGAAGCCCAAGGCATTCCAAGGAGTACAGCCAGGAACCTGTCCCTTCTCCCAAGTGTCTAGGGTATAAGGGGAACAACCAGAGGACCCTGTGGGAAAGCAAAGTCAGGAGGGATCATTAGCAGGCAGGAAGAAAAAGTATTTGGTTCACCAGGTGTACCAGTCCTGGGATGGGTTTCTGACCTGGTAAAACACCTTCCCTGGATCGAAGAAGATCCTCCACTGATGGTGGGAGTGGGAGGAAGCTGTATAGCCAAAGCAGGCCCGGGAAAGGGACCTGGAATGGCCATATCTGGGAGCTACAGTCTCATTCTGAGAAGGCTCGATACAAGTCTGGGTCCATAGGAATGTTTTTCCCGTCCACAGCTCTCAGTGCTTCACTGGCCTAGCAGGACATAAATGGCATATTGCCTTACCCTCTCCCCAAGCTCCCTGAGCCCCATGGTAGACTTGGCCCAGCAGCATACTGCTGGTTATTCCTGTGGCATTGTCACACAGGTAGGGGAAACAGGCTGCTCTTCCCACCCATCCTGGAACCTGCCAGGCCAGCCCTGAGTGGGGGCAGGTACAGAGATGTCAAAGCTGAGGAACTGCTCAGCATGTCCCAGCACTCAGTGACCCCCAGCGCCAGTCTTCTGCTCTCCTTCTCCTACTGTGCCTCTCTAGGTATCTGTGGTATTTCAAACCTGCTGTACCCGTGGCCTCCCACCCTGTAAGGGGAACACCAAGAGTGACATTTCTGAACCAGTGAGGTACCATAATCTCTCCCAACTTGTCTTCCCCTGACCATCCATCCCTGTATCCCATCTGTTAGTGCTCTCAGGAATGTATAATTAATATTTGAAGAATGCCACATCTGGAGCTGGCTCCCACCGTAGACTAAAAATTAGCCAGGGGCTTTTCCTGTGGGGCTTAAGGTGGCAGGACAAGGCCCCTCTTCAGCTGTCTTTGAGACAGGCCTCTCCATGCCCCCTCCACTCCTTTTCCCCACCTGGCATCTCTGCACACTCATGCATGGTCTCCAGGGTGCTGGCTGAGACTGTGGTGTGTCCCTGACTGGGGAATGTGTTCTCTGGGCATTCGAGCATCCTAGGTGAGGGTTAATAGTGCCCCATGAGTGCCTGGAAACCTCAGAAACATAAAAGAGCTAGGGCAGAAAAGGAGCAAGGAATCTGAGGCAGAGGGGAAGTGCCAGGGGACAGAAGTAGTCCCAGGTAATGAAGCAAGGGCACAGAGGTTATGGTCTCAAGCCCCACAGTTGATTTTTCCATCAAAGCACTGGGATTTTGTGCATCTCTTGGCCTGGCAGATCCCACCCACTCAGGACTGGTTTAGGGTGCCCCAGCCAGTGTACTGAGAGTCGGCCCCACCCAGGCCTCTCCCCTCCATTCTACCCCAGGGTCTTCCAGACTCAGCACTGTAATACTAGGGGTCTGCGCTTGCTCCTTGCACAGCCCTGCATTCCATTGGACCCTTCCTGGGGAGGCTCAGTGGTGCCCTCCTCTCTCCTGGCCCAGATGATGAGGATGTGGGATGCATTGAGATATGGGGGGTTGGGTGTAAAATATGCTGTTGGGTTGGGATTGCTGTCATTTGCCTCACTAAAAACCCACATATATTATTCTTTAATGGAAAGTTAATTGTCTTATTATTCCCTCCATATGGTCCTCTTGCTCAGCACCCAGCGGGGATGCAGGGGGCTGGGGGAGGGCTCCTGGGAGGGTGTCTGAAACGTGATGAGGCCCCTGTTCCAGTATAATTAGTTACAGAGCATCGGGTGCACAGGAATCCAGCCCAGCCCTACCTAGACCCCCTGTTCCCCAAGCCTAGCCACTTCCCACCTCTTTCTTTTCTGGGTCCTGCCCTGTGGGTGGCCTTTCTGGCAGCCTCTCCTACTGTAAGGTCTGAAATGTTCTTTGCTATATGGGGAGACACACAGCTACATGAGAATGATTGTTACCCTCCTGCTGCCCCATCCCCAACACACCCAAAATGCACATTTTCT